AGGCTGAAATTGGGTAAGAGATGTAGAGCTAACCTGGCTTGACCCAATTTTAAAAGATCAGTATGGGGAACACGGTGACAAAGAAAGAAAGGAGCAGAACTGCGCCCATGATGAAGATGACGAAGAATGCTGTTGGCTGGCATAAAACGACCTACATGTAATATAATTCGAAGAGAACTGTTTGTTTCAGAATTTTAGGTTTGAAATCATTTGATGTTCATTTATGGACAAATGGACTGGCTTTTGTCCATTGTGGACATTCAATCTTTTAAAACTTTTTATTTTTTTATTAAACCATTAATATTTGCGTAGCCTTGATACTATAGCAAACTGTTGATAATAGAATACGTTTTTACATGTGTTACTCGTTTTTCAAATGTTAAAAGTCCAAAATGGACAATGTGCGATCAGAGAGTCTGCTGCTCAACTAGTGTCACTTGCACTGTCAAGACACATTATATGTCAAGATCCATCTGATTAAGCTTCTTAGGATAGGAATAGAAAATTTTGATCATATTCCCGCATTTCGGCTTCATGAAATTTGATGGTCACCACTTATGTGAAAATCTATCGAGCCATTCAAATAAGAATTTCAAGCTAGATTTTTTCATCAAAATCCGCCATTTAACCTTTATAGAATTTTAATATAGCCATTGTTACTCGCACTGGTAGGACGAGTTCAACATCACCTCATATGTTAAATTTCATCAAGCTATTTGGCTTCTAGCCCATGAAATTTCTTGTCTACATATCCACGCTCGAAAAACATAATTTTCCTCTTGAGGCAATCGGGTAACATGTACCAGAATCAGTCTTCCCTTCCCTATTACCTGAGATTCAATCTAGATCCACCCCTGTATCAGTCCACTTCGTTGGAAGTTTGAACAATCTCGTAAATATACTTGTCGTCTCCCAGAACGATTTCCTTCCAGATGCAAACACCATTCTGCTGAAAATTGCTTCCCTCGAGTGGTAGTTAAGGAAATAAAAATTATTGCAAACTAAATCAGAGGCTCCGGCGTATTTGAATAATTATTTAAATGTCGCCAAGCTTGAAGCTTGTGTAAAGACCAGAAGTCGAAAGTTCAATGCAGGAGACTGCCTTTACGTGCTCTGACTGTGACAGAACAATTAATTTTAAAATTCCTAGATTTTATTTCCATGGAATAATAATAGGTTCCCCGGAATTGTCATATTTAACGGAACAAATTATTAATATTCTCCCTTTCTCTATTGGGTTCGTAAACGAGCCTATGGACGGTGAATCAGAGCAGCTCAGTTTTTTTTTTGAAAAACGCTCAGACCCGTCGATTTTGTTTTCGATGGGACAAAAGTTTGGCAAAAAATCACGTTAACACGTGCAGCCCCCTGGACGGGGGTGACACCAACCCTAAAATCTTAAATGGAAAGGGGGGTCGAGTGATACCTTATTTTGAAGGTCTTTAAATTCCCTTTATAATGATGTAAAATACATGAGCTTTAGTTCAGTAGTTTTGACGATTTACTGATTTAAAGCTTAAAGTAGACTTTAATAGGTACATCAGATTAGTTTGTACTACTTTCAGAAGAAATTTGACTAAAAGAATTTACTTAATAAGTAAATGCTTTTCTTCACTACGCCCGTGGTTTGTTTATCATTTTGTTGTTGAAAATAGCTACTGGAGCGTTTTTTGTGGCAAAAAAGTTAATTCTTGAAGAAAGATAAGGAAATATCCCGTACTTATTTTAAATAGGAATTTAGCACATAGTTTGCGATTGATTGCTAAAATAACTTGTAACGCTTTATTGCATAAATTAACCATGGTATAGTCCACAGTAGAAAGAGTTGAAGCTATCGAAATATGTTTCGAAAATAATCTGTGCGCTAATAGAAAAGCAGAAATATTTAATGAGCGACATGAGAACAGTAACGTGCATCGAAAATATGTTCTAGAACTTGTAGCTAGATTTCCGGAAACTGGGTCAGTCGCCAATAAAAAACGCAACATTGAAAATCCCATAAGGAACGAAGCAATAGAAGTGGGGGGTTTTAGGGCAAGTTTATGTAGATCCTGCGTTAAGTACCCGCAAATTGGAGACTGTGTGTGGTGTTAGTCGACGTACTGTCCAACGGATTCTAAAGGCCCGTAGTTTTCATCCGTATAAAATTCACCTGGTACAAGAACTTTATGAAGACGATATTGATCGGCGATTACAATTTTGTGAAGATATGAGTGAACGAATTATAAACAATGAACATTTTCAATTCAACACTTGCTTTTCCGACGAATGTTCCTTTTTCTTAAAAGGCGTAGTAAATCGTCATAACTGCCGATAATGGTCCGATTCTAATCCCAGAATTTATCATGAGGTACATACACAGCAGCCACAAAAATTAAATGTTTGGGCTGGTATTTTTGGCGATCATTGGTCCTTTTTCCTTACCTGGAAATTTGACCGGTGAAATGTATTTGGATATACTGGAAGACGCCATAGATCCTGCATTAACAGCCATAATTGAAAATCAGAATGACCGGCGGTACATTGCGAATAGGTTGGTGTTCCCACAGGATGGTGCCCCACCACATTACGCATTACGTGCTCGACAATATTTAGATAAGACGTTTCCAGATCGATGGATTGGTAGAAGAGGTGCCATTGAATGGCCCCCAAGATCGCCAGATTTATCACCTTTGGATTTCTTTATGTGGGGTCATTTAAGATGCAAAATCTATGCTACTCAGCCAACATCATTAGAAGACCTGCGACAAAGAATTGTGAATGAGTGCCTTCAAATTACTCCTCAAATATTACAAAATGTGCGGCAACGTTTTGAGTAAAATCTATTATTGCATGGAGAGTCATGGTGGCCATTTTCAGCATTTACTTGCCTAACGGGTCAGTTCATTCTTCATTTTTAAATTACTTTGCTGCCAAATGTATTGATCTCCAGTAATGATGATGTATTGGTTTTATTCAAGCTTTAAATCAATAGAACTTCAAGTGAAGTACATTAGTTCTATATCATTATGAAGGAAATTGAAAGACCTTTAAAATAAGGTATCACTCGACCCCCCTTTCCATTTAAGATTTTGGGGGTGGTGTCACCCCCGGTTAGGGGGCTGCACGTGCTAACGTGATTTTTTGCCAAACTTGTTTCCCACTTGAAAACAAAATCGACGGGTCTATGTTTCTTTTGTGCAGGCTTTCCCAAGTCTTTTTGTCCCTGGCCTGTCGAACAGTTTCTGTCCAGCTGAGTCCTCTGTTCTTCAGTGTCATTGAAAAAATTCTTTTGACTGGACTAGTTTCTTCCATGCGGACTACATGCTCAAACCATTTCAACTGGTTTTCCTCAATTTTTTCCAAGACAGATCTAATCCCTAACTCACTTCGTATAATCTCGTTCCTAATTTTGTCTCTCCTTGTCACTCCTTTTATTGCTCTCAAGTAATTCATATCTATTGCTTGTAGTTTGCTTCTTTGCCGGTTGTTCAATACCCAGCTTCAGAAAGTCAGTTTTGGTCTGAAAATAGTTTATATACCGTCATTTTGGTCTTTCTGCTTATTTCTTTTTTCGATGTAAACGACGTTTTTATGCTATGATACAGGTTCGATGTTTTTAGTAATCTTTCTTTTATTTCTTCATGCATTGTTCCGTCTTGCTGTATTTGTATTCCCAAGTATTTGAAAGCTTGCACTTGATCTATATATCTTCCTTCAGAGATTATTTTAAGTTCTTTCCTTTGTCTAGTAGTCAGGACTTTTGTTTTAGAAATGTTAATATCCATATTTCTCTTTAATAGCTCTTCACTCCAGATGTAAATATTTTTAAATATATCTTGTAAATATTTTGGGTTGCTGGCACATAATAGCAAATCATCCGCAAAGGCATACTGTTATACCTACAGTTCTCATTTTATAGAACCCTACATGAACTTTTCTTGTTTTACTCTTTAGGGACTTGATTACATCGTCCATGACTATGATAAATACTGTAGGGCTAAGCACGCCTCCTTGCTTCAGTCGACCGCTTAGTTTTAATTTTGCGGAATCATGTTATCCTTTTGCACGTACCAACTGTTTTGTTCACGCACGCTTTGAATACAATCTATTAGGTGGCTATCTATGTTTCTTTTGTGCAGGCTTTCCCAAACAACGCCCCTTGGCACGCTATCGAATGCTTTTTCGAGATCTAAAAACGCTAAATATAGTTCGGTGTTCTTCACCCTGCTTTTCTCAATGAGCTGTTTAATTGTAAATATGTGGTCCTGAATATTGTGAAACTTTCTAAAACCACTTTGCGCCTCGTCTAGATCAGAGTTCCCCAAACTTTTTTGTGTCGTAGACCCCTTGCCATGTTTTTCCGTGTTGGGTAGACCCCCTACTTGCCTGATATTGATATCCTGTAAATTTCTAACTGTAGTGAAGTTTAGTGTTAAAAACTTAAAGTAAAAACACATGTTAATTTATACATTTATTAATTGAATTTAAATTAAAACTACTTAAAATAAAATTTTGTATCTGTTATGTAAAATATATGTAACATTAAATAAACAGGTGTCTGACCAATAAGTGCCCGCATTGCAAATAAGTGCCCGCATTGAAAAAAAATAAGAGGGATAAAATAAAGAAAAAGTGAAAAATAATACAAAAAAAGTTTTTTACTTAAAATAGTACAATAAGCGAGTTCGTTTATTAATTATAACATAAACGTATGTTCTACAATAATTTCACTGTTAGTTTGATTAAATTCCGCTTATTATACGTTTAAGTTATCTAAAAATAGGCAAAAAATTAACGAATTTTAGTGTGTACTTATCCTTGAATTTTCAGAATAATAAAAAAACATATTTTCTATAAAGGGGGGTTCTTTGAAAAAATCAATGCGGGCACTTATTCCCAATGCGGCATTTATTGGTCAGACACCAATAAACATAAAATAAACTATAACTAAAATAACATAAGCAATAAGTCAATATTTTTAGTGAGAAGGATGAACCTGATGCTTTAATAATAAATTATCAACGTTTGGCGTCAATTTTGTAAGGGTTAATCTTAAATCCCCTCGGGTAATGATGTCCAGTCTGTTTCTTTTTTTCGGTAGGAGATTGGTAACAGCGCTGAACCCCCTTTCCACTAGGTATGACGATGGAAAGGAAACTAAAAATTTCCTCGCTATATTCCATAATACGGGATAAGTAACGGGTATGTTGTTTTGCAGCCAGAATTGCTGATCCGTTTTTAAACTGAACCTTAAGATCTTCGTTTGTACTTAGTTCAGTCAATTCCTCTTGTATTATGACATTCGTTTCTTCTATGTCACCATATGGATTAATTATCCACGGTGGTATTACCATAGACAAAATATCCTCAAACCTAGATTCAAAATCTGAATAGAGGGCATTTAAATGTTGAACGTAAGTTGAAACGTCGTCTTCCTGGCAGCTTGTCTGTGACAAATTGGGGAACTGAGAAAATTCGCCCCGTCCAATATTTTGCTTCATTAGTTTAACTTTGGCAAGAAACGCTGGTAAGATGGACTTTGTTTTAATCAAATTTAAACTATCGCCTTATAATTGCAAATTAACCATATTAAATTTTGTAAACAAATCTGTTAAATAGGCGATGTCTGTTTTCTTCATCATTAAATTTTCTTTTAAAATTTTATCTTTAGTATCCAGAAATTCTAAAATAGTCTCAAAAAGTGCAAAAAATCTTGTCAAACATAAGCCTTCCGACAGCCAGCGTACTTCAGTGTGAAGGAGTAATTGATGAAAGTGTTCGTCATCTTCTTTGCACAACTGCGCAAATATATTCAACGCGTTGCTTCGGATTCGGTTTACTGCATCAATGACTAAATGAAGTGATTCATGCAATCTAACACTCAACTTTTTAGCAACTAAATGTTGTCGATGGATGACGCAATGTATTGCTAACACCCCTGACACATTTTGTTTTAAATAGCTTATAAATCCACGATAACGTCCAACCATGGCAGGTGCTCCATCTGTAGCTACTGATATTATATTTGATAAAGGAATTGCTTTTTCAATGAAGTAATCCTTCAAAACATGAAATATTGATTCACCCTTAGTGTCGGTTATCAAAGTTCTTGCGAAGAGCAGTTCTTCGTAGATTTATTGATTCTTCATAAAACGAATATATGCCAATAATAATGCTGCATTATCAGGTAAAGTTGACTCGTCCAGTTGTATAGAGAAATGGGTAGTTTGCAAATAATTACATAAGAAGCTTTCAATATCAGAACTCATTTCATCAATACGTCTTTCAACAGTATTGTTGCTTAAGGGAATTCTTTTAATGATATCAGATGCAGGTTTGTGTAAAACAGTTTTTAAAACCTCTTCAACGGCTGGCAAAATTAACTTCTCTCCGATAGTATGCGGTTTTCCGGATTTTGCTATAAGTAACGAGATATTGTAAGACGCCCGCAAACCATCATCATTTGTTTGTGACGTCGAAGCGAACGTTCTGTCCATTGTAGGTCTCTCCTGAAATTTATTTTTGAGTTTGAAAGTATTTCAAATCTTTCTCTGTTTTATCAGGGTGGCATCTTGTCAGATGATCTTGCAGTTTAGATGGTTTCATAGCGTCATTGCCCAAAACTTCGTTGCATAATAGGCTCATAGGCGATTGTTTGTCCGGCAATGATGGAATGAAGCCAAATTTCAAATAATCAACTATCTACATTGCTTTTTAGATTCGGACATGGCATCAGTCATCTGTGGGCAAAATTATATTATTTAAATAAGACAGAAAATCCAGCAGCTGTATATTAAAAATATTTTTTGATTTTTCCGAAAACGTTCCATAATTCGAACATCTTGCAACAATTAGCTCGAATTACGGAGATTGCACTGTAATTATATTACCGATTGCTAAAACTTTCAAAAAGAAACTATTGAGGAGTACTCGTGTAATTTTGCATGATTGAATATTTAACTACTAATAACTAAAGTCATGATTGGCGTAATTTATCTATCTTTGCTAACTACGAGTACAAAACTAAAATTTAATAAAAAATAATGTACTTACTTTTCTCCAGCACTCTCGAACAAAATAACACTGACTCAATACAATTTGTGTGATATACGATCTGTTTAAATTTTTTAAAATATTTTCTTAGCACTTTCCTTTTCAAGATTCAGGAAACGAATAAACGTATTTGTCCCACATTCGTATTTATAGAGTGACGAATTGAACAAGTTAGTGCAAGGTAGCGAAGCTCTGAGACTGCGACTCTCAGGTTTTTACAAGTTCAAAATGTATTGTGACAACAAAGCGAATACCAAGATCCTACAACTTACACAATTTTATAAACATATATAATACATTTTTTACTTCATAGGTACTTTTATAAATAATGTATATGTTTGGGAATCAATGGTCTAGATTGTCTTCAATATACTCTCCCAGCTTTCTGTCTAGTACTCTTTCATATACTTTACATGGAATGCTCAATAGCATAATACCCCTATAATTGTTGCAGTCTGTGGTGTCACCTTTCTTAAATACTGGGATTACTTTTCCCTCCCTCCAGTCATCAGGTACCTGCTTTTCTTCCCTTGCCTTATTCACTAATGTTGAGAACATTTCCATATATTCAGTATTCATATTTTGTAACATTTCCGCTGTAATTCCATCATGCCCGGCTGACTTTCCTCTTTTCAGCATGTTAACACTTTTTCTAACCTCTTCAATATCTATTTTACGATGCTCTTTTCTGCCTCCTACAGTTTCCTGTATGTGTATAAGACTTGCGTTGTTGATACTGTTGGACCCGACTATGTTCAGTAACTCCCGGAAGTGTTCTTTCCATCTTTCGATAATTTTTTGTCCCTCTAAAATTAGCTCACTATTTTGGTTTTTTATGTGCTACAGTAATACTGTGAAAAAATTTCATCGAAGTCCCAGCGGTATTTTACAAGTTATAGGCAGCTATAGGATTAGCGAACAGACCGACAGACCGACCGAAAATGTTCGAGATTACAATACTTCGCCGCCAGTAGGCGTGGATCATTCTACGAACCTAGGTATTAAAATGGATGATAATTTAAAATTGGTTGAATACCCAAATAATCTAATTTCTAAGTGCTGCGCTGTTCTCAGAGTTTTTTGTTTTATTTATTTAGAAAAGGCTCGTTTAAATTTCACTTATCTTTGTCACGTAGGGCAGCTAGTAACTCATCCATTAGCTCATCTACAAACCTCCTACCTAGTCTGTGAACTTCCCGGTAGCTGAGTACTTATTTAATATACACGTACACACACCTTCTCCGTCTACACTCATCGTCGGCTTCCGGTTTCGGCTCGTAATTAAACATTAAGTAGCTCCAGCGCTTCCGATATGGTAATTCCAGCAACTTGGCTCTTAGAAGACTCCGGGGACGAAGCGAATTAGAATGTGAGCTACCGGATTCATATCGCATTTCATTTGCAAAATATAGTAGGGATTTGAAAGGAAGACTGATAGGGAACTTTCTTCATATTCGCAATACATCTTAATGGGCAAGTGTTGAGTCTGATCATGAGTGAAACTGATAATAGCAATGTTTGAATACACTCTTTCCGAGTATGCGACCTCTCCAAGCGAAAGAGATTGACAGTGACTTCTTCTCTTTATAAGAATTCACCCCTTGGTACAGACCTAAATGCCGAGCACTTATGGGCTTCACGCGTATACATATACAATGCGTATCCACTATATACATACAATGGTGAATACAATGTATAGAACACCATAGGTGGTGAACCGTAGGAGTAATTATGTAAGAACCTAATAAACGTAAAAAAAAGCCGATGGAATGTCATCTTGGAGACCAGGTAGCTTTAGGTGTGAAAATATACCTACTGAGTGACATATAAATTCGAACACCCAGTTTAAATGGTTTTATTTTAATAAAAGTTGGTGAATGTATTTATCTTACTGTAAATAACTAGCGAAAAAATTTTCAGCCTTATCAGTTGGACATTCTGGTTTCTGGTTAGTGAATTACACTAACGCTCTAAAAATGAATATCTCAGCCGCAGTAAAGAATCAACGTTGGCGGATTTTGGTTCTTGACATACTTTACGATCGGTTACGATGCCTAGAGTACGGAGACCTGTACGATTTCGTCAACTTAGTGAGTTTGATAGGGGCCGTATAGTGGGACTTCGGGAAGCTGGACTTTCTTTTCGGGCAACTGCAGTTTGAGTGCAAAGAAGTGTAGACACTGTGGTTAGGTGTTGTCAGGCATGGCTTCGAGAGGGCCGTACGCAAAGAGCAAGGGGCACTGGACGCCGCCGTAGAACAACAGACCGTGAAGATCGCCGCCTAAGATTATTGGCCTTAAGGGACCGTTTCGCCACTACCAGGTCCATTGCAAATAAATGGTTTGCAGAACACGGAAGACCTATTGGCATGCGAAGTGTTTACCGACGAATGAGAAGTTTTGGCTTGTTTTCATACCGGCCACACTGGGTCCTCCCTTTAACTCGAGAACACCGACGTAATCGCCTTGAGTGGTGCAGACAACGGTCACTCTGGGATCAGGAATGGAACAGTATTGTCTTTAGTGACGAGTCTCGATTTTGTTTAGGCATGCACGATGGTCGTGCCAGGGTTAGAAGGCGACGTGGTGAAAGGAGGAATCCACAGTTTTTTGTTGAAAGACATGTTCATCACACTGTCGGAGTTATGGTTTGGGGTGCTTTAGCTTATGGTTCCAGGTGATCTTTAATCTTCATCAGAGGTAACATGAACGCGCAGCGTTATATCCACGAAGTTCTAGAACCCCATCTTTTACCCTATCTTGACACCCTGGCAGATCCAACTTTCCAACAAGATAATGCCCGACCACATGTTGCAAAAGTCACAATAGACTTCTTTCAACATAATGATGTCACATTGTTACCATGACCCCCAAGATCTCCCGACTTATCCCCAATTGAGCACGTGTGGGATATGATGGGTAGGAGATTGCTCAATTTGCAACGTCCTCCTCAGACTCTAGAAGCATTCGAGAGGAGTTGGTGCTTGCCTGGAATGAGATACCACAGGAGGACATTGACCACCTGATCAGAAGCATGCCTAGGCGCGTTGGAGAATGCGTAGCACATCAGGGTGCATCCACACATTATTAAAGGTCAAAGGGCTTTAAAGCAGTGCAATCATTTTGAAATTTTTATCATTTACTTATTATGCTTCATTAAGTACTTATACAAAATTTTATTAAAATAAAACCATTTAAACTGGGTGTTCGGATTTATATGTCACTTAGTATAGTTCATTCCACGTTTGCTCGCTATGATCACTGTTCGCTGACGTTTAAGCAACACGTACAACTGCAAAACGAGTTCACAACACATGTACAACGCCTTGTGCTATGTCAACATCTAGTAGGAAAACCTACGTTATGTCACAAATAACCTAACCTACGAAATCTCACTTTTCAAGATTCGTAATACCCGTGCCGGCTAGTAAAATAACTAAATTGATGAACTAGGGTTCACTTTGTTTTAAGATAGAAGATAGTATTCCATCGCGTGCTGTATCTGGAAAAAGTTATCTTCTCCTGCTGTGTTTCGCTAGTAAACGCACATTCAGCGTAACGCAATATGCGAACATCGACCCTCCATTTTATCGTTTTAAAATATAATCATACCTTTTGTAATTTGGAATGTCTTGGAATTAGACCACCTCGGACCTGCTCTGAAGTTGTTACTAATTCCAGTTTAAACAGTTTTCAAGCTGGTTATTAATTCACACGCCAATATCAGACCGACTAGCATTTGATAGATCTCAAAAGCTGATACTCCTTGTGATTGGCCGATAACAGCCTTGCCGATCTAAATATTGACGACGCTGAAAAAAATCAGTGAAATGGACGAATCTTGTTTCCAGGATGTATTTTATTTGATTTTATAAATGTTCCTTATTTATTTAATACCAGAACTTTGTATATATAAACATTGACTGACGTATACCACCTGAAGATGGGCAACTTGATTGAGAAAACTAACGCCTACGTACAGATTGTACTCTAGCAGCGATGTTGCTAAATGGGATCAGAGTAATGTCCTTGATATTATAGCTATCAAAATTCAGTACAATTTACTTCAACACAGACAATTATGAAGTCTCCCATAGGTGGCGCACTTTCATTTTTTCGAAAACGTGACTGACATGTATAAATGTCAACCTGAATACAATTTTTAGGAAAATTACTGACACTTTTTTAACTCCTGTATAAGAGCCAAACTATATGGGCGGACGTTACCGCGGCAGGATTTCCGTTGAATATTGCCAGCCCTACAGAAAGCGATTTTTTCGTCGAGTACATTCACGGCAATAATATCACCTCTTTTTGCTAGTTACAAAATAAATCCCATTGTGCGGATAGTACCTCCAATGGAGATCCATCGCTCGACTAGTTTACTCCGTAATAAACAACCTGATTAGTTGTGACGGTGACGATATCAACGCATTGGAAAGCGAAAGCGTGCAGTACGCCCACCTCCGACGGAAATAAACACAACGCGTCGTATTTTCCATTCATCTATTTTCGCTTGTTTAACGACACTATTAGGACGTGCAAACCATAGCGTAAAATATGCAGTGCATAATCGCTCGTATAGTTTGGCTCTAAGTGGTATCTATTTCAATATAAGTCGCATACATCAATGTTTCCATTCATCCTGATGACATTCGTAGGGTTACAAATCTTGTCCATTAAGTGAGAAACGCACTGCACGAAAAACAGTTGTCTCCCAACTATGATCTTGCTAGTGACCTCGACGAGGAACAATACATCGTACGATGTGATCAGGAGATATTTTTGGACCAACGGCGTTAGCGGAGGCACTGAATCCTCTTCGGATGACGCTTTTTCAGAAGATTTGTGTGAGGCTCCATATAGCACATCAGCGGAGCTCCTAAATCATATTAAACACCTCAAGGTGCGTAAAGCACCTGGGGAGGATCGAATCACCAATAAGGCGTTGAAGTTGCTCTCGCCGAAAGCTCTGACATATTTGGCGATGCTCAGAATCTAGTACTTCCCTGCTGAGTGGAAGACTGCTGAGGTCATCATGATTCCAAGGGAGGTGGGTTCGATATTTCCTCAGGATTACCGTCCCATCAGTCTGCTGTCAGCACCTTCTAAGCTCACCGAAAAGGTGATTTATCGTCAGCTTGAGAATTTTTCATCAACTCACCATGTGGTTCCTGACGTTCAACTCGGTTTAACATGTAACCAGAGGGTTCACCCTCAGCACGAGTATTGGCATCTTGCTTTTGGATGTCTCAAAAGCCTTTGACAAGGTGTGGCACGCGGAGCTCTTCTATAAACGAATCCAAAAGGGTGTTCCTTTTTGGCTTCTAGAACTACTGAAATCCTTTTTTGAAGGAAGTTTCGGATCAAAATTAACAAGGATTTGTTAACAAAACGGCCAGTTCGAACCGGTGTTCCTCAGGGCTCGGTTCTAGGACCAATTCTTTATTCGCTTTTTATCGATGATGTCCCTTGCCCCAACAAATATGGTCTACCTCTATGCTGACGACACTGCGTTTGTGGCCCAGTCGTGTACTGGTGATCTGGTTCACGATGGGTTGCACAGCGCGACGGAAGTACTAGATTGGACGGAACGGTGGCTGATTAATATTAATCATTCGAAAACGCATGCTATTTATTGTACCAAAAAACGTCGCGGCCCCCCAGCAGAAGTTTCTGTAGTTGGCAATCGTGTACCATGGACAAATTCTGCCAAGTACTTCGGTGTCACCCTTAATAAAGGCATGACTTGGCAGAAACATACAGCAGTCTTGAAAACAAAATTCCAAATTGCGTTTCGGCAACTATATCCTTTGTTATGCAGATCCTAGAAATTGAGGTTGATAAACAAAGTGTGCCCGTATAAAGTGACTATTAGTCCAGACATTACTTATGCATGTGCGGCTTGGTGTTTTCTTGCCAAGATACATATGCAAAGTCTTCAAGTACTGCAAAGCAGAACTTTGCGAACAATCTGCAACGCTCCATGGTATGTCTCAAACGAGACACTTCATATAGACCTTGACATTCCTTATTTGAGGGATTATGTCAAGCTTCAGGCGCAGCGACGGTATAGTCAAGCGGAATCGCACAGCAACTCGTGGACTACACAGTGGAGCAAGTTCGTAAGCATTCAAGGCCACGGCTCGCACTGTGATAAAAAATTAGCGCGAACTTTTAGTAAGCTTAAAATTACGCTCTAATAAAAAAAAAATAAAAGTTGTTTAGGTTACCTCAAAATTAATGCGTGTACCAAGTCAAAAAACATAGGTATAGTCAACGCCAAACAAAGTGGCGTGCACGTCATCACGATAAAAATTCCCCGACCTAATGCCTAGGTTTCTATCACAAACAATTGCTCTATTGCAGTTTCATATTAATGTGATATATAAATTGTAAAATGGTCATTACTCTCTTATTATGGTTAATAGTCATATAAACATTGTTATTAAAATATCACATAAGTTGCTTTCTGATAAATTTAGACGCATTATGCGAAATAAAATGTTTTGCAAACGCTCCAATCACTTATCGACATGTAAACGCACTAAACCGATTTCGCAGCGTTGACACATTGTCACCTTGAAACTTATTTAAACTGGGAACTGACATTTGTATTAATTTTGACACTGAATCAATTTGTGGCATTTCAAATCTTTATAAATCCTTTGGCCCCGCATACTGTAAATCAACAACTGTTTGTTTCAAAACAAAATTATTCATTTTACGAGTAGATAAAGGCAATTTTGGTATATAAAGATGCCCAAACAGTTAAATAGTCGGTGTAAGGAACTCGTGGCCTCGTTAATGCACTACTTTGAGCAAGAAAGGGACAACAACGGGCCTTTGTTGCCTTTAAATGCTGTTCAAGAGGTAGGTTACTAATAATTATATGTAATGTATATTAATAATAGTGAAATTTTATTTCATTTTTTGTAGCGTGTTGCTGCTGCTTTAAAAATTAGTTTAAGGACAGTTAGTCGTATTTCCGAGGGTGTGAAAAGTGATGCAAATTTAGAATCGCCCAAGAAAAAGCGGAGTTATATTAAACGTGTAACCAACACAGCGACATTGGATACAAGTGCCATTCGAGAAGTGATCTATAATATGTATCACAAAAGTAAGATCTTATTATAATAACTTATCAGAAATTTGCATTAATTTGTTAACTAAATTATAATGTCATATTACACATGGTTTCAGAAGAACAAGTTACGATACAAACTTTATGGTCTCGATTAAGAGATAGGGCATTATTTGATGGTAGTGCCACGTCTTTAAGGCGGTTGCTTAGAGATCTTGGATTTAAGTGGCTTAAGGACAATCCGCGACGAGGGCTCATGGAACTACCAAGTATAGCTTTGAAAAGGGTGGAATTTCTAAGGCAATACAATCAAGCCAAGGTTGAGGCCTTATACCAGTTTGTCTTCCTCGATGAAACTTGGATATTTCAAAATGGGACCATAGGTCACTCTTGGCAAAATGGAAACCAAAAAAGCGTGAAACCTATTAAAACAGATGGTAAAAGGTATGTACTTTTACACAATTTGCACTATAAAATTTAAAACTAATATATTTTAGATACATTATATTACATGCTGGAAATAAAAATGGGTTTATTGAGGGTAGTGAAGCGATATTTTCTTTGAAAACAAAATTGAGCGATTACCATGGAGAGATGAACCAGGACAATTTTTTGAAATGGTTTCAACATCAGTTATTAGAAAAATTGGAGAGTCCATCTATGATTATACTGGATAACGCCCCTTATCACAGCATGATATTGAACAAAGTGCCCAACAATGCATGGACAAAAAAAATATCCAAGACTGGTTGACAAATCAAAACATACCATTTTTAAACACAATGTTTAAAACAGAGCTATTGAGTATTGTTGCTCGGTACATAATGCTTCTTAATTATATATATTTTGGTCGACAGTTTATATTTCTTTTGTTTATTCCTATTCTTAAAATAACTGCTTTTTTAGAAACAAACCACCTAAAATATACGTGATTGATGAATTGGCGGAACAACATGGGCACAAAGTTCTTCGTCTGCCTCCTTACCATTGTATATTTAACCCTATTGAGTTAATTTGGGGCATAGCAAAAGGTTACTATAACAGACATATTGGTAGAGATGGTAACAGTGAAAAAGACTGTTTGGATATGTGGAACGAGGCTCTACAAACGGTTACCCCAGACATGTGGAAAACTAGTGTTCGACATACTGAGCAAGAAATTTTTAAATGGTATGAAAGAGAACGAATTTGTGATCGACCAGACATCGAACCTTTAATAATCAACTTTGAGAGTGATGAAGATTCAGATTCAGACAGCGCTGAAGAAAGAAACTCCGACTAACTTTATTGTGCAGAAAAAGCTTACACCAGTAGCTTACCTAATTTTAGAATGCATTTTTCTGTATGAATTCTGTAAAATAAATACCATGCATAAAATTTGGAGGACCCCATTTGGATTTTTATTCAGTACCTTTAAGCTATCAATTAAATATGGTAGTTTCATAGTGTCATCTGATCAATAATTGTCATACTTAATGATTATGCAAGTACAGATCTATAATTTTATTATACTATTATTTTTGTTCTCATTTGAGGTTAATATTGCTTATAAACCTAGATATGTAAATAATAAATTTTATTATTTTACAAAAAGTTTGGCAACAATGTAAATTTTTCAACACACCCACCTTGATGACGTGCACGCCACTTTGTTTGGCGTTGACTATAGGTGTTTTCTCTTAAGTTAAGCACTTCTGTTTTCCTTTGCTTTTCTCCTTTTTTCTTCTCCTACCCTTTCACTTTTTCCTTGACATTATCTGGACTAATAGGCAAAGGTCCTACGAACCGCCGAGACAAACAAATGACGAATAGTGTCAATGCTTCCACATATAATTATGTTCATATGAAACGGTGGGTGGCGCTCTCATAATATTGCCGCATCAGAGCAGAATTGTATTTGAGAGTCCACAGATCACTAGATTTCATAAATGGTGATTCAAGGAATAAAAGTGCTTGGACAACTTTTATAGATAATTGCATATTCTACAATTTTTGTAAAATATATTTTTGTGGTATCATTTTCCGCTTCAGAGAAGTATGACAAAACGTGATATTTTTGAGATTTCAATCCAAATGAAATTTTTCGAAAATTGCATTCCATGAGCAGCCAAGGGGTTTGAGACAAAATCCAGAATACTCGAAAACTCGAAAAAGAAGAAGCATTGATCCGTACCATCGAAATACATTCTGATCTGCGCCCAAAGTGAACAAAAGGACAACCGAATTTTCGTAAAACTCGCTTGAAAATTATTTCATGCGTCTAATATGTTATTATAATTGATATACCAAAGGTTTCCATCAATCGTTGAAGCGCAAAATTCTGTATTGCAGGTTAGATGTCAAAATTTGTTTCTGCGAAACTCCTTTCTGAATATTTTTTTCAGCTTACCCATAAAAATAATATTCATTCTTCTTGGGAAACCGCCCATATTTGAACTGCTTATTAGTAATAATCAACATGAATAATCCCTTGAAACGTTAACTGTATGAAGTGGTTCCAGGGAAATATATATCATAAAAAATAAGATCTTTAATATGTATAAATACATTTTATTGACAGTTCAATGTAAAAATCTTATATGATACAGTTCTTTAAAATTGAGAAAAAACAGTACATTAATACAAAAAGTAATCATATACATATCATTATACAAACATCATATAAGTTTATGCACAATCATTCCTGTTTCTTTAAAAAAATACTGATCTTGACTTCGCTTGTTCTTTATTTTAAATGAAAATTGTGTGAAATATTATGCAAGTGACGTAAGGATAAATGGTAAACCGCTAAGTACGTATCAACAATAGTACAAAGAGTTGTCCCAGAATATTCTGTAGTCTGTAGACCCAAATCGGATTCTCGTATAGACGCTAAAATAAAAAGCCCAAGGACTGTATACACATTCACTGTACCGCGTAGAGTTTTCTAGTAACGAAATTATGACATCTTCGACATACCAAAAGCAACAGCCTCATATTGGTTTAGACAGTTGAAGAATTAGTATAACTTACAACTAAACTGAGGCACATGACAAATAAATTCAGTTTTACTTAAGTGATCCTACGAGGGTCGTTCAATAAGTCGTTAAGAAATCGAAGAGATGGCTTTAATATGATCAAAGATCAGTTTTTAGAAAACGTATTTACTCACTATGGCGCAAGACCAAGATTTAATGCCTGTTCGTACAGCAGTCGTCAACCTTTCAATGATCGTGTCCAAGATGCCGTCACACAAATTCCTTTCACACTGTCAAGGTATATAGACGGAATTTAAACGGCCGGATCCCAGACACAGTCACTGACAAGTCACCGACCACTGTTCGAACAAACCTTTAGCCTCTGACGAACATTTATCTTAAATGTAAAAAAAGCATCCTTTCGTTAGTGACATTCAAGAAATAAATGGGGTGTGTCAATCCTTTTTTGACCCACTGCACATATACATTAACTCATTAGGATAACTGTGACAATTGGAGTTATATCCATCACAAGGCTTCATTTGTATTTCATAACGAAACAATATTTTTTTGCGGGGAAATGGGAAAAGAGCGATCCACATCAAATGAAGCCTTCCAAAAATCGTACTTTTCTGACGGCTTGAAATGGTGGAAAAGTGCAACGAGCTGAACGGCGATTACATCAAAAAATATTCCAAAAATACATTGTTTTTTGATCATAATGAACGATCTTCGTAGGTTAAAAGAGGTCTCTTGACATTGTTGCTATATAATATGAAAATAGGCTATTGGAAGGGCGAAGCTTCACCAAAAAACTGGTCAAAATTCCTGTACCATTCAGAACCGCCACTACCTTGTTGGCCATGTTTCTCATTTTCGTATGTTTCCTTTGGGCTCGGTCTTCCTTGATGTTTATAGTCAGCTGTTTTGTAAGCGGATCCACTAGACCTGAAAACAATCGAGTTATCGAGTTAAGCAAAACTAATCCAGTATTTAAATAATAATAATAAATTGTATTTATTTATAAATCTACATAGTATCGGGCTAACCAAAGGAAAACAAAAATATTGTAAGACATAATCTAAAAATATAAACAGATTCAGCAACACGTCAAATAAAAATTTTCTGGCGGTTACTAATCTAAACTACAAAGTACTACTTAATTACTACTACGAGTCATTTTTGATAGCAAATGCTGCTTGACACAAACTTTAAATTTAGTTTGAGATAAATTTTTGAATGCATCAGGTAGCACGTTATAGAGTTTGACACAATTATACCTAAAAGAGCGAGTAAATAAAGCCGTACGGTGCCGTGGAATATCTAACGATTTGCCATACCTGAGCATGCGATCTCTAACAGATTGCCTGAAAACAATTTTTTTGAAGAGGTATTCGGGAGTTCCCGCGATAATCAAATTATGAATGAACTTCAAGTTAAGATACATGTAAGAGCTATTAATATCTAACCATTTTAAACTACGAATACAGTGTGAAACATGGTCATATTTTCTTTAACCGTAGATGAGGCGACAGCACGAATTTTGAATCAGTTGAAGTCTGAGAATTGAGACTTGATCTAAGTAAGGATAGAAAACTATAAGGCAGTAGTTGATTTTTGAGAGAACTAGGCTTTCACAAAGATGTTTTTTCAATTTGAAATTGATGAAATGCCTATTAACAAACAATGTTTTTAGTACAACAAAGCAGTTTCTTACTAATTTAGATATATGCTCATGAAAACGTAAATCGTTGTCAAGTAAGACACCCAAATTTTTTGCAAGATCCTCATAAATTAAAGAAGTGTCATTAATCCGTTCTGTCGTGTTATTTCTGATATTAATGATTTTGTTTTTTGGTGCAAAGAGAACAGCTTTAGATTTAGAGGCATTTATCGTTAAGGAGCTATGCTTGGAAAAACTAACAATAGTGGCTAAGTCACAATTCAACTCGTCAACAGCTGCTACACAGTCATCTGGATCAAAAGTTTTACATATTTGTGTATCATCCGCAAAAATCATTACTTCAGAGGAGCGTATCAGTTTACACATGTCTGATATGTAAATGGAGAACAATAGCGGTCCTAAAACAGAGCCTTGAGGGACCCCTGATATCACATTCTTATATGTCGAATATGAGTTGTCCAAATGTACCCTTTGCATACGATTCATGAGATAACTAGTAATGAACTTGATAGATGCTTGAGAAAATCCAATATATTTGCATTTTGAGATCAAAAGTGAATGATTGATAGTGTCAAAAGCCTTGGAGAAGTCAAGCAGTACAAGAGCCGCTGCTTGACCCCGATCCAAAGCCTCAACAATATCATCAGTCACCTTATGCAGGGCAGTGGTGGTGCTATTCCCTACTTTGAAGCCAGACTGGTTTTTTGGAATTATGTTATTCTCAGAGCAGTACTCTTTCAATTGATCATGTACTATCCTTTCCAATATTTTTGATAGAATCGGAAGTAAACTTATTGGGCGCAAGTCGGAATAAGCTGAAGGGTTATTAGTTTTTGTCAAGGGAACAATTACCGCTTGCTTCCATGCAGAGGGAAAATAGTGAAGTTCCAAACAAGGATTAATCAAATGCGTTAAATATTTGCCAATCACAGGAAGACACAGTTTTATCATATTAGGCGTAATACCATCATGCCCACAGGCATTCGATTTTATTTTAAAAAAATGCGAACGTATATCTTCCTCAGTGATCATGACCAGATCAAATTTGAGCGATTCATCATGTTATTATCATAAAAGTCTATTTCACTAGCACAGTGCTGAGTATTATCTTCAAAAACAGATAAAAAATAATCATTTATCTGCGTTGCGTTACGTAAACTAACAGGTATGTGGTTACGCTTCTTAGTCTGGATGTTCAAATTCCTTATACCCTTATATAAAGAAGATGAATTATTAGTTTCTTGTAAGTGCTGAAGATAACCAGCCTTTTCTCTACGCTGTGATGCAAGAGCATAATTTCTCAGTTCTGTGTATTCTGTCCAGTTCTGGTTTGTCCTATTGTGTTTGTATTTTATTAAAGCTGCATCCCTCTGCTTGAAAATAGCTCTTAAGTTTTGCGTTAACCATGGAGCAAAGGGCTTGCTTACCCTCGCTGTACGCAACGGTGCATGTATATCAAACAAAGAAATTATAAGATCATTTAGAAATTCCACTTTGTCATCAATGTCTCGAATACAAATAATATCATTCCAGTTTATACTCAGTAAGTCGGCCATAAAGTTGTCATGAGCAAAATTTTTGAAATCACGGTAAGTGACAATTTTTTGTGGGGTCTGATGTTTATCAAAAGATGCTTCACAGTAAACCAACCTATGATCGGTGAAGACATCTACATTTAGTGTACCAATATTATGACACTGTTCAGGAAAATTTACAAAAATAGGATCTATTAATGTAATAGAAGAAGAAAAAATTCTTGTAGGCTCGTCAATCAATTGTTTAAAAGAATATGAGTCGAAGCAAAGAGATATTTTGTTACTTAGATTTAGCAAATTGACATTTACGTCACCCAATATGAAAATATGGTCGTAAACAGTAGACAAATGCGATAAAAGTGTATCCAGAGTTTCAACTGCAGAATTGAGATTAGCCTTAGGAGGTCTGTACAACAATCCTAAGGCAACTGAGGACGACTTGAATTGAAGTTTCAACCAAAATTGTTCAATTACTGATGGATCATCTCCAATATAATCAGTTATAGAAATATGTTCACAATTTATATCATCATTTATATACACACCTATTCCGCCACCCCTACTGTCTCTATCCTTCCTATGAAATGTATAACCATCTATAGACAAAGTATCTCAAGGAACCATCTCAGTGAGCCATGTTTCAGTGAGGGCAAATACATCAAATTTTTTTTCTTTGATGAAGACCGAAAGGTCAGTGAATGAAGGTACAAGGGAACGTATATTGACATGTCCAACTTTCACTGAGCTTACCTTAACCATAATCGATCCTACTTTTCAATTTAGAGATGTACCTTAAGTTCATAGGGCAAGTCATATCCCTTGCTGAATGGTCCACTGCAATGTTTTCCTTCTTCCAATTATTATAATTAATACAGCTACTACATGATTTATTTGCAGATTTACATTCTTTTAAGCAATGATTTCCGGAACAAGAAGGGCACCTAGCAGATGCAGATCTGCACTGCTTATCAGTATGACCAAACACTGAGCACTTATAGCATATAATATGTACTTTAAAATTTAAACCAAATCATTGTTCAACGTATTCTCCAAAAAGGGCATCTTTTAACTTATGCTATATTTGGGGGTTTTCTGACAATTTGCATCTCCACGGACATGTTGCCATGTGGGATCAGTAATACCCAAGTAATCAAATCATACTATATTTTCCTATAATGAAAATGTTAATCTTTAAATGAAGCCAAGTTTCCAAAAAAAAATCACGTCAATTTCTATCGTAATTGTTTCTAAGGTTTCGTATTCTCAATGACTAAAGATGATGGTTGACACTGTCAGATGGACATTAATGTTCAAGGGAAATTATGACAAGTGACACATATACAATATATTAATACTTCTTCCAGGCTTGTGAAGTCTAGAAATTCAGCTGCAATTTTTTAGATAGGTGCCACAAGTATCGTGTGGAATCAACCTTTATAAAGGGTGTCAATAAAGTATGTAGACAAACTTTAACCATCGAATCCTTGGTCAATTTGAAGACGAAACTTCCATACGAACAAGTGGTCCGCAGCGGCTTTGTCTTCAAGCTAGAGCATATTAGTACTAAAAGAAATGATGGTATTGTTCTAAAAAAATATAAAAGAATGGAACGTATTTCATTTTAATTATGTATGCCCTGTGGTGAATATCACATGATTTACAGTTCGTCAGTCAATGTGTAGCAGACTAGACGCCTGCATTGAAGTCGAGGGTGGCCACTTTGAACATTTATTGTAAAGCAAAGACTATTCGATATTTTCTATTGTTGGCGTTCTATTCGAATGTTAGTGTTAAAAGCTATTGACCTTCTAAATATCTTTTTTCCAAAAACACAGGATAATACTATTTTCATCCACGTTCATACTGAGGCTCAGCAACTTGTAAAACATCAATGTAGACAACACACTATACATACCAAAAACGTGTAAAACTGTGGATACAAGCACAATCGTATATGATGAATGAAATAATAAATTAATGTATATTCAGATTTTCTCAAAAACTTAAATACTTCGAAAACGATAGGAATTTATAAGGTTTTGAATTCAGTTTATTTAAACGGATATATATTATATGATAACTTTGCGTAATTATTTGATATAATCATTTATTCAATAATAATTAAGAATATATCAAAATATATCAGTATGTGCTGTAATGACAATGGTTCGTATGGAAAAATACCCGCACAGGCAACTGCCTTCTGCGGGTACCTATGTTTATTTGTTTTATTCGAGAATAATTGTATTTTACAAATAAACATTATTATTATAATTATTATGGAAATTATCAAAGGGTTCTGTTCAATAAGTCCGTTTCATTATTCATAGAAATATTTGGAACATTACTCGTATTTATTTAGTGATAGTGCTCTAGCTCGAAAAGGAAGCTGTTACGGACCCATGTTCATATGAACAGTTAGTCTTCAAATTGACCAAGGATTCGATGGTTAAAGTTTGTCTACATACTTTATTAATACCATGTATATATCCTACTTACGGATAGTAACTCTGGCTGTGATGAGCAGAAGAGGACAACTTCTTGTAAGACTTGGAACTGGATGTCGATTGCGAGCTCCAGGAGTCCCTGTTGTCGTATGGAGAATCCTGTGAGTGATTGAATTCAACTGACATCCCAGATGCTGAGATATATGTAGATTGTCGTGGCTTGGCTTGGGGCTGGAGTGCTTCTTTTTCTTTATTGTTGGATATTGATCTTCCCTTCCCTTGTTTGATAGCGTCATACAGCGACTGATTAACGATACTACTACTAGACTCTTGCTGGACATGTTGCTCGGTTTCGTATTTTTCCTTTGGGCAAGGTAACTCTTTCACTGATTCTGCATAACGTGTATTGCTCGGTCTTTCTTGATGTCCATAGTCAGCCGATTTGAAAACGGTTCCGCTAGAACTAAAAATAATCTAGTTAAGAAAAACTGAGCCAGTATTCACATACTCTAAAATTTAAACTATATATTTCATCAACGTGTTCTCCAAAGAGATTTTAATTCTCATAAGTTGCGTCGCCACAGACATGTCGCCATGTGGGATTAGTGATTCTTCCTGAAGCGATAAAAACATACTATATATACCTATCTATGAAAATGTTCTTAAACATCTTAAAACGACGTCAAGCTTCCAAAAAATGCACCTCGATTTGCATCGTAATTATCAATGGCTAAAGCGGGTGATCGACAAGAATGTACAAAGTTTTTTTATTAGTTAGACATTTTGGAAGGAAAGAGTGAAGTGATTATTTTTCTTCAAAAAATGAAATGGACGTCACAAGCATCATATACAATCAACCGTTATACAGGGTGTTAATCAAGTATCTAGGCAAACTCTAACCATCGAATCCTTGGTCAATTTGAAGACGAAATTTCAATATGAACATGGGTCCGCAACGGCTCTGTTTTCAAGCTAGAGCATATTAGCACTAAAAGTAATGATGATATTGTTCTAAAAAATTATAAAAGAATGGAACGTGTTTTATTTTAATTAAGTATACCCTGTAGTGAATATCACATGATTTACAGTTGTTTTCAGACACTCCATGTACGTAGATACGGATAATGTAATCCAGTATTTTTCGAAAAAAATTGCATGACATTGATTCGTTTAGATCGCAGTACTTTTAATATTTAAGCATTGTGCTTATCTAGACACCTATGATGTACCCGAAAACAATTGAATTAATTTATTTTTTCCAATAATTCGACAGTTGACAAATATTTGTTTTCTTATTTGGTCATTTTAAGACTCCAAATATTTCTAAGTTTTGGCGACTACTAATTGTCATAATGGTCCAGTTCAGTAAACAAGAAATGACAGATATGCATTTCGTTTACGGAATGGCTCTGGGTAATGCTCGATGAGCACGACGTTTGTATGGTGATCGATTTCCACAACGCCCGCTGCCTAATGTGCAAACTTTCATCAACATTCACGCTCGACTATGTGAAACAGGCAGTTTCAAGGGATCCACACATATTGCAGGAAGACCCGCAAGTGTAAGAACCATCCAAATCCAAGAAGCTGTGCTTAATAAAATCTAAGAGGACCCTACAACAAGTACACGAAAAACTGCGCAACAGCTAAATTTAAATCACGCGCTTTTGCCTCGAGATTTGCCTATAAGAGTTGATTTTTGTAACTGGTTACGTGGAAAAGTAACATTACATCACTTTTTTTTCAAATTCACGGATGAAGCATGTTTTTCGCGAACAGCAATAATTAATTTTTCATAACAACCATATATGGTGTGAAGAAAATCCCCATGCCATAATTGAACATAATATGCAACACGAATTTTCCTTCCATATTTGGATTGGAATCGTTAGTGACCACTTGATTGGCCCTCGTTTCCTTCCCCCCAGACTTAGCGGCGAAATGTACTGAAGATTTTTGGAATTTGACCTACCCGGATTAATGGAGGAAATTCCTCTTAGAGAACGACGTCGCATGTGGTACATGCATGACGGTGCTCCACCACACTTCAGTGACGTTGCGCGAGAATACCTAGATAATAATTATCCAAATCGATGAATTGGAAGAGGCGGACCACAGCAATGGCCGCCTAGATCACCTGACATGAATTCTATCGATTTCTTTTGATGGGGACATTTGAAATCATTAGTATACAAGACTCCTGTTCAAAGCGTGGAGGACTTAAGAGTCAGATTTGTCGAGACATGTCTGACTACACAAAATACTCCGGGTATTTTCAGGAGAGTTCGTCAGTCAATGTGTAACAGACTAGACGCCTGTATTGAAGTTAAAGATGGCCACTTTGAACATTTATTGTAAAAAAAAATATTCGATATTTTCTGTTTAAAACTATCGGCCTTCTAAATAACTTTTTCCAAAAATACAGGATAACACCATTTTCATCCACGTTCATATTGAGCCTCAGCAACTTGTAAAACTTGCAAAATTTATTATAGGTTATACCAACTGTTCAATAAGTAAGTTTCATTATTCACAGAAATATTTGAAACATTACACTCGTAAGTATTTCTTTAGTGTTCTAGCTCGAAAAGGAAGCCGTTACGGACCCATGTTCATCTGAACATTTTGTCTTCAAATTAATCAAGGATTCGATGGTTAAAATTTGTCTACATACTTTAATAACACCTTGTATATGATATCTTACTTACAGATAGTAATTTTGGCTGTGATGTGCAGAAGAATCGTATGCATTCTGGGAGTGATTAAATTCAATTGATTTTCCAGACGCTGAGCTATGTGTAGACTTTCGCGGCTCGGCTTGGGGCTGAGTCACTTCTCTTTCTTGATTGTTGGACGTTGATGTTGCCTTCCCTTGTTTGCTACTGCTACCATTTTCCTTTGAGTACGTTAATTGTTCTAGTGATCCTGCATCACGGATCTTGCTCGGTCTTTCTTGATGTTCATAGTCGACTGATTTGTAAGGGGATCCACTAGAAATGAAAACAAGCGATATAAGTAAAACTAAGCCAGTATTCACATCGATGGTTAAAATTTGTCTACATACTTTAATAACACCTTGTATATGATATCTTACTTACAGATAGTAATTTTGGCTGTGATGTGCAGAAGAATCGTATGCATTCTGGGAGTGATTAAATTCAATTGATTTTCCAGACGCTGAGCTATGTGTAGACTTTCGCGGCTCGGCTTGGGGCTGAGTCACTTCCCTTTCTTGATTGTTGGACCTTGATGTTGCCTTCCCTTGTTTGCTACTGCTACCATTTTCCTTCGAGTACGATAATTCTTCTAGTGATCCTGCATCACGGATCTTGCTCGGTCTTTCTTGATGTTCATAGTCGACTGATTTGTAAGGGGATCCACTAGAAATGAAAACAAGCGATATAAGTAAAATTAAGCCAGTATTCACATCGTTTGAAATTTATATTGTCTTAGATTAATTTATTCTCCGAAGAGATGCCCAAACATTTGCTATGTGTATGTGGCTGTAATTTCCTAGAAAGTGATCAAAGCAGAACCAGTTTTCCTATTTATGTAAATGTTTGTCTTAAAATAACATCAACCTTAGAAAAAAGGCTAAGCCTCAATTTCCATTACACGTAATCTACCTATATATTTGATTTCACTTACGGATAGTAACTTTGGCTGCGATGTGCAGAAGAGGACGACTTCTTGTCAGAGCTGGAACCGGATGTCGATCGCGGGCTTCTGGAATCTCTGTTGTCGTATGAATAGTCATGGGAGTGATTAAAGCCAAGTGATATTCCAGACGCTGAGCTATATGTAGACTTTCCTGGCTTAGCTTGAGGCTGAGGCACTTCTTTTCCTTTATTGTTAGACATTGAGCTCCTCTTCCCTTGTTTGATTACGTTATGCATCGCCTGATGAACGACAGAGTCCGAATTGTTAGTAGTATTGTTGTCAGTGTGTACTCGAGCTGCAAATACTTGGCTTGAAGATGTTGTATGTTCTGGCGTTGGGCTACTGTATTTGCCTCTGGATGTATTCTTTTCAGTTTTCTCAATCAACTTAGCTAGATCAATGTCGGCCTTAATTTGACTTTGCACATTGCGGTCAAATTCCGGCACATTTTTAATACCAATTTTAGGGATTTTGTAGGAAAGCGAATTCAAATTCTCTTTAATTGATTCAGTGGCTGGTTCTCCTAAAAGACTTTCGTGGGGTCTTCCATTACATAGAACTTTTTTTGGAACCGCAGGAACTTTACCGTCACTTCTGGGTGAGTATTCTGCAATTAAGCTAGCCGGTTCAAACTTAGCCTCAATTTGACGAGCTCCTGATGCAAACTTGGCGAACTTGGAAGGAGGTGGCTGTAAAGTACCTTTAGCAGACCTTTTGAGCTCGTTTTTAGTGTTTTTAGTTTCTTCGACCTTATAAGAGAGACGTTCCCTCTTTGGAGCAACAACGGGGGTCTTACTGTTTTTCCTTGTAGGGACGACGGATACCTCCTTAGGTTCAGCGATACGTTTTTCAAGCATCTTCGGAGGTATCGCAGATCTAGTAACATTGTTACTGTTGCTCTCCTCAATAGATGGAATATTGGCAGATGGTTGAGGTTCTGGATGTGGAGAGTTCAATTTAGTTAGACCAGTGCTAATGTCAATTTGAGTTGGTGCATTGCAGTCAAATTTCGGTATATTTTTTCTATCAGCACCGATTTTAGGGATCTTGTAAGGAAGCGAATTCAAATTCTCTTTAATTGACTCAGTGGCCGGTTTTCCCACAGGACTTTCGAGGGGTCTCTCGTGACATAGAATTTTTGTTGGAACCGCAGGAACTTTACCTTCGCTTCTGGGTGAGTATTCTTGAATTAAGTTAGTAAGTTCCAGCTTAGCCTCAATTTGACTAGACAGGGTGAGCCCTAATGTCGGCATAGCTTCTGTCGCAATCTTAGCACCCTTGGAAGGAGGTGACTGCAAAGTTGTTTCAGCAGAGCTTTTGAGCGCGTTTTTAGTCTCTTTTGATTCTTCAACTTTAGGAGAGGCATTCTTCTTCTTTGGAGCAACAACGCGGGTCCTACTGTTTTTCCTTGTAGGGATTGCGTGTATCTCCTTAGGTTTAGCGATACGCTTTTCTATTTTCGGAGGTGTCGCGGTTCTAATAATTATCTTACCGTTGCTCTCCGCAGTAGATGGAATACTACCAGACGGTTCAGTTCTTAGAGATAAAGTCGATGCAGAGTTTTCTGTTGGCATGCATTGTTCATTGGGAACCGTTACCAATTTTGGATAAGCTTCCACGGGTGAATTCTGTAAGATAAGCAAGTCCTAATTAGATAAATCCTTTTAGGTCCCTACAGTATATTCAGATAAGAGATAGACCGGATGTAAACAAAAGGTTCGGGTGATTTTCACGCTAACGCCGCCGTCTCGACGTAAAACAGGAGCCCTCATTGGTCAATTCGCAATTAAATGCCTATACCGAGCGGCAGAGCAGTCGTATCAAGGCAGAGTCACATTCAGGTTCAGACGTGTTACGTATGTCGTGTGCATCATTGCAATTTGATATTTCTTTGGACGTTTTCGTTTGTTATCTTATTAAGTTGTTGAGTTTGTCGTTGTTATTGTTATACCTTGTTATTGATTGTTATTGTTATCAACTGCTTGCGCAAAATGCCCAGTAGTACAGATACTGCCGATGAAGTTGTAAACTTCTGTAGTCCACCTAGGAAACGCTCTAAAAAAAGACACCTGAGTGCAGAAATGAAAGAAGTCATTTTGAATATATATAAGATCGAGCGCGAGGAGAAATCAGTGTTTAATGTGTTAAGACAATACAAAAAAAATCACACCTTTTCTGAGCCAATGACCAGTAAACATCGCAAAAGTATTGTTAAATCATTGGATGAAGCTGATAAGCATGCGATGAGGAGGAAAGTGCATGAATTCTTCTTTAGGAATGAAATACCTACTATAGATAAAGTACTGCAGGAGTTAAATGGAGATACAACGTTGCCAAATTTCAAACGATCAACTTTCCATGCGTTACTGAAGCATTTAAATTTCAAATGGAAAAAACGGGGTCGTAATAGTTTACTACTGGATAGAGAAGAAATTGTGCTATGGAGGAGGGATTATTTAACAAAAATTGGGAAATATAGAAATCAAAACAGGAAGATTTATTACCTTGATGAAACGTGGGTAAACGCAGGACACACTACAAGTAAAGTATGGGTTGATGATTCTGTAACTTCATCCAGGAGGGCCTTTCTAGATGGACTGTCCACCGGATTAAAAAATCCAGCAGGTAAATACGAGTAATAGACAACAATCGGATGTTTTTCAAACCTTGGGAACAAGATTCTAAACATTAATTCCAGGGGGCAGATAAAACATATTACAAGTAACAAAACTTTTATAACTTTCGATAAAATGCGTGGATGTTTTATTGTCATTTTCATTTGTTAGAACTTTTTTAAGCCATGTTTTTATGTGTTTTCGATATTTCAATAATTTTTTAATATAATCTTAAAATATGTCGAATATTATAAACTTAAAAAATGTTACTAAGTTTTATATTGTGTACCGTTCCTAATATTTCTAATCATTTTAATTCATACTTTAAGCTTTATAAAGTTATAATTTGTTAATATTAATATTTGCGCGTATTTCAGGTTCCTGATCATTAATTTTTTAAAGGTTTATAACTTTAAATTAAATTGTGAAGCGCTGAGTAATCATACGACGTTCAATATTCTTTCTTTCAATATGACTAAATAATCCCAATTATAGCAATCTGATACTCATGTCTCAATGTTTTTTCGCTGAATGTGATGAAAACATTTGAAAAAGGTTCGCTTATTGAAATAAATCTACACCAGTTAGTACTTCGATTTCCAGGTAAAGGGAAAAGGCTCATTATCTGCCATATTGGCAGTGAGGATGGATTTGTTGTTGACGGTCTGTGGTGCTTTGAGTCTAAGAAAACTGGAGATTACCACGAGGAAATGAATGGCGAATCGTTTGAACAGTGGTTTTCAAAAATTTTATAGAACTTAGAGGAAAACGCAGTAATTGTGTTGGATAATGCGCCTTATCATTCTCGAAGAATGGAGAAGGTCCCAACAACGGCTTCAAGGAAAGTTGATGTTCAAAATTGGCTCCGCTCGAAAAATATCAACTTTGAAGAAGCAATGCTGAAAGTACAATTATTAAGAATTGTCAAGGATCACAAGGCGGAATATCAAAAATACGCCATTGACGAAATGGCAGCAAGTCAAAATAAAACTGTGCTCCGTTTACCTCCATACCATTGCGAGCTCAATCCCATTGAGCTCATATGGGCAGAGGTTAAAAATTATATAGCTAAGCACAATACAACTTTTAAATTTTGTGACCTCAAAGGACTTTTCAAAGAAGCACTAGAATTAATAACAGCGCAAAAATGGGAAAACTGTATTAAGCACGTGAAAGACAGTTGAAAAGAGAATGTGGGAACTGGACAATATTTTAGAGGAACAAGTCGAGCCATTCATTATTAACGTTGGTGCTTCAGGCAGTAGCGATGATGAAAGCTCATGAAGCTCATCTTTCCAATAAAAGATGTCGTTCATCAAATTCGGTAAGTTATAAGTAATTATAAAGCTACTGTATTTTTTAATTAATTATTGACATTTTTGAACCCATTTTGGCAAAACCTATTCAAGAATCTACTTTCTGACAATGTTCAACCATGCACATTTTTTTACGTTTTGAACGTTTTAATTTGGTTACATATTTACCTAGAAATCAAAAAATATACTAATCAATATTCTAAAAGCAATTTTAAGAGATATACGATTATTTTTAATTTAGGCTAATTTAAACGCCATTTTGAGATTATATTCGACTGTATTTCACCAAACATCAGGCGGCATCCGAAGCTGGAAATCGAAGCGAAAATTTCGAAACCCTTATGTATATTTATATCATTATATATTTCTTACCCCACCCCCACATGATCCTACATCCATCACCAATCGTATACACATCGAATTTACTACAAAGTTACGCAAAGCAGCATCTACTATCTAAAATATGTACTGCGTGACTCTTAATACGTCCCTGCCGAATGTTACAGCGTTCGATGATCACGTGGTCTTGTTTATGTCCGGTCTATCTCTTATCTGAATATACTGTAAGTGTATCTTATAGTGCAATATAAAATAGATAAATTAAAGCAGAAACGTTCTTCTGCGATCTTCCGATATGCAATTTGGGCCATTTATTGTAGAAGAATATAAATAACCGTCATAAAAACGGCTACACAGGGTGTATATTCTGTAGACACAGAAGTTTTATAAACTCAGGGTCAGTCGATTTGATATGATTCACCTCTTGAAAAGTGCTTTGTTTGTCCGTTAGATGGCGTCAAAGTTTTTTTTTTAGAAATTTAAGGATTCGATAGTCCGATGTGAATGAAATTTGAAACACATATGTTTTGCGACACATTCTAATATTTGACTCTTATGAAAATCACTGAATGGTTCAAGAAGTGAAAATCAGCACAGCCCTAGATAAATCATAGCAGAATTTTTTGGCAACTTTCCCGGTGACACTGATTTTTTTATTTATCAGATTTTTTTTATTTTCTGTCTCAGATAGTTTGCGAGAGAAAAAATGAATTAAATCAATATTCTAGCATGCGTCTTACTAATTTTTTCAGTGCAGCTAGCGAAAATAAACAATAATGATATTACTTACTACGATTTTATTTAATACAGGCTACAGTTCGAATCTTTCATAAAGAGGCAAAAAATGAGGTAGGCACAACGATCTTTTGAATAAAAAATTCAGAATCGTGGAAGAGTTGCGAAAAGTCTGCTATAACGTATGGAGGGGTAGGGGTAGTTTTCAGCCTTCCGAAGTTTTTGTGAAAGATGAATATTAGGACGTCTAGCAAAACACAAGTTTTCCACATTTCAATCAAATGGGCCTATAGGTTCAAAAAGAAATGAGTTTTAAAAAGAAAAGTTTGACGCCCCCTAACGGACAAAGCACTATTGCATAGATGTAGCAAGCACGTTTATAGTGTAGTCTGATCATCAGACTCAATAAATATGTTCAGAATAACTTTTCGCAGGTCCTTCAATGCTCATAAATTTGTCCCTTTTTTAATTTTAAAGGAATATCATACAGGTTGACTGATTGATTTGACTACTTTTATTTATAAAACAGGTTAATTAGGCGATTTATCGACTTAAGCGTTCAAGAACCAAATAAATCGATTTATATTCTTATTTGTAAGTGCATAGTCAGTGGCTATACCCATAACCTCAAAACGAAACTGGTAGTTCCTTAGGTTAGACTGCAAAACTGATCGATTGAATCGTTAACTCAATATGTAATTATCTGTATTGTTTTGTGTGTGTCAGAAATGTCATATCTACTCATCACTCTGTTTTTGAAAAAAAATCTTTTGGAATGTATAGCCATACACTTACCGATTGATATGGGTTATCGTGGTTATTATTTTGAATCCAATCCTCCGTAACATTGGAAAAGTCGGAACTCTTGTCAGGAACCCCCATTCCGGCACTTTCATCAATAAAAATCGTCGATTCTATGTCATTTAAACCGATTTCGTTGCCAGAGAAGCGATTCGTAACAGGCGAAGGATGACCTCCAAGCAAGAGAGGATTGTTGACAGCATACTCATTGGCGTCGATGATTCGCACATTGTTTTCCAAGGCACTGAAGTCCACCGTCTGTTGTGGAAAGCTAGTAGAATAGGTTTGGCTTGGTTCGTTGAAATTGTGGATGACTGGGTTTTCTTCCGAAGTTAGCATGAACAACGGATCATCTGAAAACATAATCAATTTCAATTGTGAGGCTCCAAGTAGATCTGACTATTTTGTACCAAAATTCTGCAAAACGTTTCAGTGTACTGCAGGTACTACTTGAGGTGTTTCGCAACGTTTCGAATTCAACACTCTGTGGATTACGTTTTGAGACAGTATGTATCGGTCTGTCTGTGACCGGCCTGAAGTACAGCTCCATCATTGGGAGATTCTAAATGCAAAACTCGCAACCGACAATTCCTAACGAAATTCATTTAATATCTATTTCTTCCTCTGTATTTTCAACATTCTTATGGGAAGTAAAAGTGATACTAAAATAAGGAGATGAAAATGGTCTCTCCCTAGAACCCACAATCTGTCTAACAACCCTATCGTCCGCCACACCACCAGCGCTATAAGCCACACCTAATAACTTTCTCAGCAGTAACTTCTTTTCAAACATGCCCCAAGGTTGATAGGCAAAGCTCGCATTTTCGCTATCTCACTATATTTCAAATCATTGATAGAGTATGTTGCTAGAGCAAGTTAAACTGGTCTTGAAAATTGTTTTTTAGAATTACACGTTTTTTAGGCTCATCATATAGTTGATTCCTGTCACAGCAGCACAAGGGTATTTTCACACAAATACGCAAATATTAGACCAAAGCAGACTTCTGCTATAATTCATGTAGGGGGATAGTTTTCATCCTTCTCGAATCATTTCGGGTTTTTGTTTTATAAAAGTCAAATATTGGGTTTCAAATTTCATTTAATTCGGACTATCGGTTACAAAAATATGAAACATGAGTTTTATAAAGAAAACTTTGACGCCCTCTAACGGACAAACGAAGTACTTTTGCATAGAAGTAACTCTTGTCCAATCGACTTATTTTGTGTCTAAAAATATGCGGTTATTCTATGTTCACAGAATATGGACACACCCAAAATTTTTAAATCTGAATACTTCAGTGGAAACGTGACAGTGACAGATTTTCCATATTCATGCTATGAAACTTGTATCACAGATCGGCATCAGGCTTGGTCGCTGTTGCTACCCTTAAAACTTTAGCTTAAGGCCGGAAGCCGGAAGCAATATTTTCTAGCTGGCACATCAATTACATGGCATATTAGTCTAAATTTCGTTTTGGTAGTTAGATAGTTAACGCATTAAGGTTGAAGACATTCGTAGAGGTGCGTTACCATCACCGAATTAGATTTTAAGCATTGAGCCCTGAAAGATGTATTTATTTAAGTTTTTCGAACACTTTATCACTTATTTCCTTCTTTTCCCATATCTTTGTTAGTTGAGAACTAGTCGTATCAGACACACCGGGAATTTAAAGACCTAACTCTTGAAAACTGTTAGAAGCACGAGAGACTGAACGAACGTTACAGTATTGAATATTTATAACAGCTGGAGAATGCAAAACTAATGAACGTGAGATAAGCTTTATGATCAGCTAAGATCAATCTGTCCTTTATGTTGTTTTCATAAAAAGCCTTGGAACTGGCTTTTGCAGAAAGTAGTACGTCTGAATGGATCTACTTTAAAGCTGTCTCTTGGAGGTTTTTCGTACAAAGTATTTTAAAAATAAAATTTTCTTTATTCACTGATATGTTTGTATTTATTAAAAAATCCAGCAGTCACTTTTTTTAACGAAGACAACAATAAACCTTTCAGAAAGGACTAGTGTGGATTTAAAAAAATGACTTTTATTTTTGCAGAACCGATGGCGTAGACTTGATTGCCAGAAAAAGCTGTATCACTGAAGTGGATAACTTACAAATCCAGTTTTATGGACTGATCCCATTTTCAATTTTTCTAAGATTGTATGTATATGTAATGATTTTACAGGACTGTCCAAAAAACTGCTGTTAACAGCTTTGAGGAATCGTCGATCATTAATTAGACAGAAAGCAGTTTTATGTGTTGCTTTGGATGGTTCGCAAAAAGGTGATTATATCAAAACTGACTGAATGGCAGGTTTAAACTTTTCACATGCAGCCACCAATTATAATAGTAACTTTCTGTATATATTTGTGGACTGAACCACTGAAATAATTTTCAAGAAATGAATGACACTTTTATGTTTGGGGACACAATCTCTCAGTTAGAGACTACAAACTGATTTTGACTTGGTAGTGAGCTATCCCCATCATATACAACTATAACCTTAATGAAAGCATTTTAGGAAGAGATTCAAGTTTTAAAGACTTGGGAGTAGTGTTCGATAACAAACTCACTTTTAACGATCACATATCAGATATTGTATCATCAGCATCAAGGTTGATGGGTTATTGTGTACGTAACTGGTCCGGTTTCTCTAATGTGGACTGTTTAAGAATACTGTATTTTTCATTTATCAGGACTAAGTTAGAGTATGCGTCCTTAGTATGGTCCCCCCTATATCAGAATGCAATCGGTAAACTGGAGGCTGTACAACGTAAAGCTCTAAAGTATTGGTATTTTAAGTGCAGTGGTAGATACCCAGAAAGAGGATTTGATCATGACGTTTTGTTGGAGTTTTTTGGCATTGAATCACTAAGGAATCGTCGTGACGCTCAAGCTCTCACTTTCCTTTATAAGTTAGTGAATAATCATATTGATTGTGGGTTCCTACTGAGTAAGATTAATTTTCATGCTCCCAGATTAGTTGGTCGGCATAATAACATATTTTACTGTGATACACCACGGACGAATATTTTATGCAGATCCCCAGTAATGGTAATGTGTACCTTATTCAATTCAATCTGTAACAGAGCTGATGTATGTCATGACAGTCTTAATAAAATATTAAACATTTACAGGGAGCAATTGAGATAAAATCGTTTTGTTGATGGTGTCAGTTATTGTTATTCTTCAATTTGAGCACTTTTATGTTTTTTTTCTTCTCTTTTTTTTGTGAAGTGTTTAATTATTCACCTATGTATTATGTGTTCATTCAGATCACTAATGTTTTTCTATTTTCTTTTTTTTGTTATTATTTTCTGATTCATTGTCTATATATATATATATATATATATGTATATGTGTATATATGTATGTGTGTGTACATATGTATGTATATATGTGTGTTCATGTGTATATATGGTACCATTTTGTTTTGATTTCCTGTGATTGGGTGTATACCTGTTGGAAATAAATATATATTATTATTATTATTATTATTATCATGCTTAAGCAAATGAAATGGGAGATTGATGTTTATTAAGCAAGCCTAGTAATCACCGATCACATCATGTTCCGTGTCTCAAGAGGCTGACTTTTTTTAAAATGTAGCATATGGAAGGTTAGGGAAATATTTTCGTTCTTCAATCCAATAAAATGGAAGACGTTTTATTATAATTGAAAAATAGCACCCAGATAAGCTCTTGTCTCACAAAAAAATCAATAAAAAAACTGAACAGTCGCAGAGAGTCTTTCAAGCACTGTAATTCAACATTTTCCATTCCAAAACACTACTAATGCCACAAAGACCTTACCTAAGCAGTAAAACTGTGCAATTTTAGCTGGAAACATTTTCCCCACTTCAAATGGTGCACTTGAACATGGAGAGAATCGCACAAACAGAAATCATCAAATAAACTAATAACACTAATAACACCATATTTGTGTCAGGGTTTAAATACCCTGTCAGGTAAAAACCGAAAACAGGGTGCAAGTGGTCATAACCCCATCTACAGGAGTGGCTTGTGATAATAAGATTTAGGCCAAAAACATTATGATGACCAGGTGTAATGCCATGCCCCCAGCCCCAGAATGCCGTGAGCACAGAAGGATCATGACATTTATTCTTACAGCATTTAGTAAAATGCATTGCAACATGAATGAATTTCTATACTAAAACAAAAATTGAGATTTCATTTCACCCTTTAAATCAAATATTACAGCAGCTGTTAAAAGTTAAAAGTTATTCTATTAACTAGTAATATGTTTTTCGTTATTAAAACAGTCAAGCTGTCATTTTTTTAACGAACATAACGATAAACTTCCAGAGAGCTTTTTCAAGGAAGGTTACTAGGACACTAATTTTTGCAAAACCAATGACGTAGAATCGTTTGCTAAACAAAGCTTTATCACCGAAACTGGAAAATTCCAAATCCATTTTGCAAAAATTAATAATTAATTTGTAAACAGAGGTTCTTATGCAAAAAGGAGATCAGACCAAAACTGACGGACTGTCACGCACAAGACTTTCACATGGAGGCACCAATAACAATAGCAATTTTATGTGTATTTTTGTGACCTGGGCTGATCAAGGAATTAATTAATGACAATTTTTTTTTAAAAACTGATTTTGCCTTGTTACTAAGCTACCATGATTCTAAAAAAAAAATAGAATGAGGTGAGTGACTATTTAGCAAACCTAACACTGACCGACTTTTTCATATTCTGCGACTCAAGAAGCTGATTTTTTTAAATATCACTTACTGACTTCAGAAAATTTTATGAGCGATTCTAACGTATAGGAGTGTAGAAAAATATTTTCATCCTCCTTTGTGAGCTTTAAATACAGTAACAGGTATAACCACCGAAAACAGGGTGGCGGAGTAGTCCTAATCCTTTCTTCAGAAGTCGGTCAAGATAATAATATTCGGGCCAAAATCATTATTATAACCAGGTGTATTACTACTTAGCTTAACCCCCAGCTCGAGAGTGCCGTGAGCACAGGTGGATCCTAACATTTATCATTACAGCATTTAGTAAAATCCCATAAATTTATATTTAATCCACCTTAGTTGCATGCTCAAGGATGCATGAAGTATCATTTTACTTTTTCAAACTTTCCTGAAGTTTGTCCTGCGTTTCTGTTATTACTATTTTCATTGCTAGGGCTAGCGCTAAGGGATCTTTAGTAACAAAGCTTGTCTCCATGTCTCTTTGGCCAATAAATGGAACCACATGCAGGACTGACTGTGTACTGACGTTTCGGCCACCTCGATGGCCGTTTTTCAAAGTGCAAATAAAATAGATAACAACAGTATATTTTCTGTCAAACCCACATATTATGCGGTTTCAACTAATGGCCAGAAAAAAGGGTAAATAATCAGCATGACAGCTGCAGAAGGTTCAGATGTTGCGATGAAAAAAATTTTGTACTAAAACAAGAGTTGAGATTTTATTTCCGTCTTTAAATTAAATA